TTTTATCCTGTGAAAAGTGCTATATAAATAAATTGATTTGATTTGATTTTGATTTGATGTGTCGATTATGTATAAAAATAAGCAAAAGCATAATAGGCCCTCTTAAATTAATTGAATGTATAAAGGTCATTTGTGTAGTTTCCCAGCTAAAGTTTTTGATTACTTGACTAATAATCATGTTCCTGTTTCCATCAGGTGTCGAGAAGGATACCAAGGAATCCGCTGTGACCAGTTTCTGCCCAAGACTGACTCCATCCTGTCGGACCCAAGTAAGACACACTTTGTTTTTCTTTTCTTTTTTTAACCTCCAGTGGATACAGTGTGTCTAGATCTATGATACAAGTCCATAAACTCGAACGTATAATAAAGAAGTGAACACGAGAGAAAGCAAGCTTATTCTGAAAGGGTCTGGGTCCATAAGATCTATTTTTCAGACTATTGATCTACATCAATAACCCAAAAGGAAAAATGAAATATTCACTAGCATATATTGAGAGTTACTGAGCATGTCCTCGCTGCCGCTCCTTGGTCTGCTATGCAAACCAGACATACAGCGTCAGTATGGTTCATACAGAGTGAAAATAGGAATCTTTTCAGTGTGTTTGACAGTTTACATTTAAAACTTGTCATACAAGCATATATCATATTCCTTCAGAGGTGTTATTAATCATGGCAGCAGCAAAGCAATCATGGAAGGGCTTTTCCCCTTGAGCGAAAATACATCTGGATATTACATTTAGTTTGTACCCTGAAATGCACATGCATTGTATAAAGTAGATTTCTTTTAATCTTAGCAGCTATTATTCTACTTGCACTGATTACTTTTACCTTGTTTCCAGGTGAGTTTGACCTCCTGCTTTGAATTCCAGCAGGGCTGCGGGCTTAGAAATATGATGCATTATGATTCCTCGTCAGATTCAGCCAATGTTTTCTAATTTTTTGATTTTAGACAGGTGAAGTCGCTGAGAAAGATAGATGAAAGCCAGATATCAACATATTTGTTCAACAGCGTTCTTTCTTTTTATGTTTATGTAGCAATAATTGATAGAATATTCAGCATTCCAGCCTTGGCTGTCCTTCCTTCTAATGTTCGCTGCACTTTCTTTACACAAACTCATAATCTGTCCTCCTATTACCTTTTCATTTTCTCCTCTCTTCAGTGCCTTCTCAAATATCCTCTCTGAGTCAGACTAATGTCACTTCTCTCATTTCTTTATCTCCCAAACACACGGTGCTCTCAATGTCACACAGTTGAGGGAAGAACACAAATTGCCCTAACTTATGTCCTTACTCCTCACTATCTATTCCATATTAATTTCCCAGGTCTCCTCAGCTCTTTCCAAAAAATATGCAACCTCGTCACGCGGGCACTAACGTCGTGGCAGTACAATAGCGTATCTGTGACTTTTTTACTAACAAGCACCATGCTGTAATAGCACTATTTACCATAAATGGACAGAGATACGCCTTGGAATCTTTACCCCATAGACATCCGATGACCCAATGTCCAACAAAGGAGACTCACTGCAGTGTTATTAAAATCTAAATTCCCTGTTAGGAATATGAAGTGTTATACTTGATTGCAAAGGAGAATGAGACATGTTGATTAGATGTGGCGAATGCAGCGTTATTGCTCGCTATTTGTTAATATCCTTTACTTTCCAGATCATTAATTAAGTCTCTGTAATGAGGTTTTTAATTCCAAATGAGTATTAGGGTAATTGTCCTTGTTAGAACAACAGCAGTGTTCACTGAAGTGACACCCATCGCTTTGTTTGTACACCAACCTACTGACCTGAATGTATTGGTAGCTAAGAAATGTTACCACCCCCGTCACTTAGCTAAGCAATTTGTCAAATGTCAGAGAAAAACAGCTCGTGGTTGTCACTCTGCTTTGTTGATCCAACTGAAGGCACATTAGACAAGATGTTCGTAGCACCATTGTTCTCTGAAACAAAAGGGGGGGGGTACTGCAGCAGGTACTTGTACTAAGAGAACAAACGTATTTGATGGTATTTTGATAATTACCCCTTTGATCTGTACACTACCTGTAAATTTAATAAAAGCTTCCAGAAAAGTCTTGGAGAATTTGGT